ATTTGCCTGGGGGGCTTTTCTGTCTGAGTAACTTCTGCTTTGCCACGACATTAACGACAAAGTTCCCTGAGAAACAATGAGCCATCAGCTGGAGATCCACGAGTCAGGTGTGCTTTCCTCTGCTCCTACTGTCTTCTGCTCCTCCACCTCCTGCACTCCCGCTGCTGCCCTTGAGCCAGTTCCCTCGGTTGGCTCCGCTGATTTGCCGCCCCTCCTTTTTTCCACCTTACGAACCCAGCAGCAAACAAATCCAGAAAAGAAGAGTTTTCTGTGGAGTTCATGAGTTGAACTGATTCGTGGAGGAGTATAAATCAAAGCCGCTGCAAGGGATGGGTCAGAATTGTGCTGTGTAAGGAAGAGGGAAGCGTTCTTTTTCTCAGCAGCAGCAGCCCGCTGGATTTGTGAACGTAGGGGTGTAATTACAGTAGCAGTCCGGTTGTTAAGCAGGATTTGTTTGGAATGAACTGGCAAAGAAGTAGCATCTGATTCTGAAGTTTAGGCAGGAAGTTCAGAAGTGTCTTTAGAGTTGTAGTCCCAAGTCCTAAGTCAGTCTGGATGAAGGTACCTGGGTGTGTTTGGGTTTTTTTCGATGAGTTAATCTCTCCTGAACAATTAGCACTTGTGACATAACTCTCTCTCTCTGTGGACACAGGACAGAAACAGGTTTCGAACCCTGCAGCTGAGAGTCAGGCATTCCCGCAGCTTGCCAAGCTGTGCCAGGATCACACGCTGGTTGGCCTGAAGTTACTGGATAAAATTGCCTCTGTACCACGTGGGGAGCTGTCATGCAGTAAGTAAATGGCAAATAGTACTCGGTGTAACTAGGGCACGGCTAAGCGTGGCGTTACTTGGTCTAAAATCACGTCACGGAGAACAAAAGCAACGCTGGTGGCAGCGTCTGTTGCTGATCTCAGATCTGATACTGAATTAGTAAATCTGAGCGTGCGCGCAGTAAGCAAGCGTGTTGCTGAAGTGGTGTGCCAGTTTGCTGAAGTGGTGTGCCAGTTTGCTGAAGTGGTGTGCCAGTTTGCTTTCCAGACAAAATACAGGTCTTGGTTTTGGTGCCAACAGCTGGGAAATGCAGTCAGTGAGTGACCTGAACTGTTGTAGTTACAGGAGGAGGGCGTTGTGACTGTCTTCACGTCACCCACGATTAGAATGGCTTTCCTTATCCGTTTGTTAATCTGACTTTCTAGATCTGTTGTTACTAAAGTCCATTTTACACTTTGCAGCTTCATACACCGTGGAGATGTTGTCACTGAGTTCACAAAACGCAGCCGACGCACTCGGGTGCTGTGCTGCGGCCGCTAACCAGCCGTGGCAGGCTGCTGGCCTAGGCTGCTTTTGGAAAAGCCTTATTCCGGGCAGTTCACCTCTGAGGAAGGCAGATGATGATAAGATTTGAGTGGGAGTTGTCTCGTGGGTGTTAACGTGGGCAGAACGCCCAATGGGTTTGTCCAGAGTGGTGAGCAAAGAGCATCTCCTAGAACACGCTCTGCAGATGCAGGAGCAGGGCTGAAGTCAGGGCTGGAACTGTTCTGTTTGAATCCAGCTACCACACTGGAAATTTGGGAAACCTTTGTGAGAAAATAAGTAACTAAAAATACCATGTTCCATGTAATCTTTATGTCCCTAACGTGTTTGTCCTGTGCCAGATCTTAGCTCACCCCTTTTTTTGTCTGGTTAAGCCGTATAAGGGTGAACGTTAGTATTTGTGCGTGTGGCTGACTAAAGTAAGGAGAAAACGGAGGAAACAGTGGTGGGAATTACAGATTGTGCTGGAGGACTCTGCCTCTTTTTGAATGGAGTGTCTGCTAGAGCACCTTTTTGCAGGCAGAGCTATAATTGGTTTGTTTCAAAGATGTGGTGTAGGTTTGTGACATTAACTGTGTTCTTTTAAAAATCTGCATTTTTAAATATGTTGTGTATCAGTTCCTGTACGACTGCTGCTTTGCTGAAGTGAATCACACGGTGCTGAGAGTGAGGTCTGGGACTCCGCTGTGTCGGGGTTGCTTTACCGTGTCAGATCAGGCCTTCCACGCAAGATGGAGTACACCAAGATGTGCTGGTTTGGCTCATTTATTTAGGGTATGGAGTTTATGAATGGTTTTTCAAACCCAGATGTCAGACTAGGGGCCTTCCTTTTTCAAATGCAGGGCTGACTGGTAATAGTGGAGTGCTGATGTGGTGTTACACGTCTGTCAGTCAGCTTTTGGTGGAGGAGGTTGGAAGTTCTGTGTGGAATAAAATAACATTTCAGAAAATGATCCAAAAGCCCCAGACTTCACCACAGATTGAGAAGCCAGACTGAACACATACTGTTACAGAAACTGTTACTTCTTGAAATCGCATAGGACAGATCCATAATAGCTCCAGTTTCTAATCCAGTTCTGCTGTTTGTGACTGGAAAGGTGGTGTGTCCTCTGCAGAGGCGGCGCCGCTTCTGGAGAGAGGCGTAACAATTGACTTCCTCCGCTTATTAACCGAAGTACCCAAGTGCTTCTGTTCTTCAGTTACAGAATTGCTGATTTTGGCCCATAATTGCTTTAGTCTGACTTGCCACATGGAAGGAATCACCAGAGTCCTCCAAGCAGCACGGCTTCTCACGGATGAGCATTTGGCTCCTAACGAGGAGTACGGCCTCGTGGTACGTGTCTCTGATGCCGCCCCTGTTTACCCAGGGGCTGCGTGGGGGGTTCCAGGGACACGTTGGAGGGAACTGCCCACGGGCAGGAGGTGAGAGGTGGGATGGAGTGCCGTCTGTCCGTCACCTCTGGCTGACGGGTCGTGCCCTGCCTGCCCCTAGGAGCGGGCGTTAGGTCTGGTGTGCGCAGGTGATGGGGTCGTGTCACGGCAGCTCCTGCAAGACTCCTCTGGAAAAACAGCGGTGGAGAGGGTGGAATGGTGAGGTGGCAACAGCCCAGTGAATCAGAACAGGAGTGTCAAAGTAGTTCAACTGCAGGGGAAAGGTGGGGATTTGTATCACCGGGCTGCCTGGACAGGGCTCCTGGGGGCTGGGACATGCCCAGCATCGTGGTGGCATTGCCAAAAGGCTCACTGCGGATTTTCATTTGGTCAAATACCTCCTCTCGCCTCACGGTGAGGAAGATGCAGTAGGTTGGTTTAAGAACAAAACCCCTGTGGCTCTAGGGAACGTCCGCCTGCGTGGTGCACCTCGCCGTGCCGCGTGGCTGCGCCGGCTGGCCCAGGGCTTCTCCTGCTGCGGCACCCGCCGCTGCGAGAGCGGGGATTTCTCTGCTTTGCTGCGAGCCTCGTCCTTACGCTGCTCTTCCCACAGGTTCGTCTTCTCACTGGAATCGGCAGATACAATGAAATGACTTACATCTTTGAGCTGCTGCATGAGAAACACTACTTCGAAGTGCTCATGAGAAAGAAATTGGACTCGGTAGGCAAAGGGGGATAAAGGGGGAAAACTTGCAGAGAACTGTGTGGCTGCATCAGAAACTGGTATTTACACAAGGTGGAATTATCTGGGGATTTTAATTACTGGAGTGTAGGAAGTGTTAGTCAAGTTTCATAGTAATAAATTAATTTGGGGTTTTATTCTGGTTTTAGTTTAGCCATAAGAGCAGCGTGGAAACTTCAAGCTTGGGAATTCTCATGTCCTGCTGTGGTTTTACTTCCAGCTAATGTTCCGTGGCATTTTTAAAAATCATAAACGTTTATAGCTTTCTTGTAACATAAAATCATAAACAAATGTCAGGTTTGACATTGGTATGTAAATAAATAAATACACACACGGGTGCTGGATTTTCTTACCCGACGTAGTGTCGTTAAGCCCAAGCATAATATTGCCTTTATGGTTTGAAGTAGCGTGGAGAAACCTCAGAGAGTGTAATGATCGCTTTTTAGAAAATTGTACCAGAACAGATTTGCTTGTGGGTACCAAAACGTGAATTAAAAAAAAGTCTTCAAATCTTAATCTGATGGTCCTTCGTCTGAGCAGAGCGGGACGTTGAAGACAGCCCTGCTGGACTACATCAAGCGCTGTCGCCCAGGGGACAGCGAGAAGCACAACATGATAGCCCTCTGCTTCAGTATGTGCCGAGAAATTGGAGAGAATCACGAGGCTGCTGCCTGCATACAGCTCAAACTGATCGAATCTCAGCCGTGGGGTGAGTGGAAGCTGCGGAACTGGGAGATACAGGCGAGTTTGTTCCAGAAGGAAGTCGTGACGGGTAACTGTGGCTCTGATTGCGTTCTCCTGGTAACATCCATTAAGCTTCCGCTGTCTGGAAGGACGGTCCTTGCCAGGCTTGGGGTGTCCTTGTACTGAGCAGTTTATCTGCCTGCCCTGCGGCTTGTCAGAGTTGAGAGTTTTGGCTCTTACCGTCACGCCACATTCCTGTGGTGCCGCGCGTGGGAGGGGGGAGGACCCACGCGTGTTTCCCTCACTTGAATAGGATGTGACACCGCGGGGCTTTGCAGAGAGTGCCTGCATAAAGCCTTGGGGTTGACTTGTGCAGGGTGACGTGTTAACGCCTGAGCTGGGCTGGGCCAGCGCTGGAGAGCACAGCGGGGAGCGGGGAGCCGGGCCTGTAACGGCAGCTAGAGCAGGAGCCGGGCCAGGTGGCTTCTGAACGTGCCAGGCACTGGCCAGTGCCCGCGTCTACCACAAATGTCCGACCGGGATTTCTCTTCGGCTCTTCAGCCTTCTCGACTAGGGTCCAGCAGTAGCTCTGGGCCGTTACCTGAACAGGCACCACTCCTTCTTTCTGCTTTTTTAATACAAAAGTTTTTTGTAGTCTTTTGTTGCTTTCTGGGACAGACTTGGTGCCAAGAGGTATTTTTGTGACTGACTCTGTCACCTTTCTAAATAGTAGGTTACTCATTTATTTCTGCGTTTCAGAGGAGTCTCTTCAGGATGTTCCAAATCTAAAGAAGCTGCTGATGAAAGCTCTGACGCTCTTCATTGATGCAGCAGAAAGTTATTCTAAGGTAAAATGAGATGGAATTGTGTGACTTCTGTACAGCATTGGGAGCACCCAGGGCGTGAGCTGAACTGGGAGAAACAAAGCTGCTCTGGGGAGGGTGTGCGGAATCCTGTCCCGGGAGAAAAGCAGCAAAGGGATCTCTTGCTCTGTCGGCTCAGCAGTATCCCAGCACCTCAGTGATGCTGGTGGAGCCAAGTTCCCTGTTCAGGCTTTGGCAGCTTGGGTTACGGTTAGGTTCCCGTTTCAGAGGAGTTACTGGGAGCTTAACCAGCAAGAACAGAACAATATAGAGTGTTTAAAAACTGGCGTGCTTATGATGCAAGTAGCAGTTGTGGTGAGTGAAGCTTCGTTTAAAACTAAAGGAATATGGTCAGCGATAAAACCGCAGTGACCTGCAAGATGAAATACGAGACAACGTTGAACTCATCGTTGCTCTCAGGAGTATTTGTTTCTTTCCTTTAGAAACAGGCATCAGAAGCTTCTCTTTGTCTTTGATTCCTTACCTAGGACTCCTGTGTGCGCCAGGCCCTGCGCTGCAGCCGGCTAACGAAGCTCATCACCCTCCAGCTGCACTTCCTCAGCACTGGCCAGAGCACGATGCTGATCAACCTGAGCAGGCAGAACCTCATGGACTCCATCATGGCCTTGCCTAGATTCTATCAGGTAAGCAAGCTCGGCCTCCTCAGCTGTAATTTTTTGGGGGAAACTATCGTTTCAAACAGCAGGTACCTAAGCACTCTGCTCCTGTGAGCGTAATGCTCAGCTCTTCCGCGTGGCCACCTCGTCCCACGGCTGTTAGCCCACGCTGTTGCTGCAGGCAGGACGGAGCCTGGACGTGTGAGCGCCGTCCTGGTGTGACCGATGCTTTTGGCAGCCCTTGCCGCCATCCTACAGCCGGGACCTCGGCTCCCCAGCGGCTCTCGGGCTGCTGTGAATCTACACCAGAGCCCTGAAATCCAACCTACGCTGGCATCCCGCCTTTTGTACAGTGGGAAATAAGTAAGAAAAGGGCTTTTTAAAGAGCGCAAGTGACCCCGCTCTGACATCTTGTTTAGGGGTTAAGGAAAATTATTTGCAGTATTTTGTTACCCTCGTATTTCTCTGTAATACAGCTGCTCTCAAGAACAGCACCAAGAGATGGGCCAAACAGGAGACAGACCTGGGATATTTTAAGTCCCCCAAGCCAGGGATGTTCCTGTGCAAGAGTAACCTCCTTCCTGCTCAGCAGTTCCACGTCTGTTCTCCCCGCAGGCGGCTATCGTGGCTGAGGCTTACGAGTTTGTTCCAGATTGGGCTGAAGTTCTGTATCAACAAGTGATCACCAAGGGAGACTTCACTTACTTCGAAGAGTTCAAACAGCAACGACCGCTGAAGCCGAGCATATTTGAGGAAATTGCTAAGAAGTAAGTACTTGTGTAAGAACTCGCTTTTCCACAGGCTACTTCAAAGGGGCAACTGCACGGTCAGTTGCCTGCAAGTCTTGGTGCTGTTAAAACCTTCTGTGTGCTGAAGTGTCCTGTGGAGGGACTTGAGACCTACCTTCCGTTCCGCAAACGCGTTGTGGAAATAGCACCACCTCTACCGTTTTGGTGGGGCTGGATAAAGAGACGCCATAGGGCTGGTCAGATCAAACTGAGGAGTCACAGCAAAATAGACAAGCAAGAGAACCAAGTGTTCGTGTTGAGCACAGCCTCTTTTTAAGAAAATACAGTTCTTCTAGTTCTGTAGCAGGATAGTCTTGTAATGGTGTCCTGTGAAACCTGTTTCCGTCACATGTACAATTATTTTCAGAGTTAAACAACACCCACCTACCGATGCTGCTCTGAAGAATCTGAAGAAGCTGCTGGCTCACTGTGAAGACATCTACACGTACTACAGGCTGGCTTACGACCACAAGTTCTACGACGTGGTAAACGCGCTCCTGAAGGACGCACAGACTGGCTGCTGCCTTAACGATATGTTATCAAACTAGACTCCAGCCCCCACGGAGCAGAGCCTGGCTCTGACATGTCCCACTGCCCCAGGGTCTTGCATAGTCAGTACTGGTTCTTTAACAGGTATTTTTATCAGTTACCTGCTTACAGGGATAGGCTGCTACGTGAAAGCTACTCCAGAAAACCGGTGGTGGTTGTAAATATCTAAAATGGTGAGACTGTGCTAACCTAAACTTGGGTTTTGTATAATAAATCTTTCTGTTTACAAAAGACTTGACTAACCAGCAAATAGAGTGGCACAGCCGCGGCCAAACCGCAGAGCTGCAGCAGGTCTTTCCCTTAGTGTTTTTTTTAGGCGTGGGATCGAAGCCGACAAAGGGCTGAATGTGCAGAGTGTCCAGTACATTGACAATGGAATAAGCAGGACAATTAGCAAACTCCTCTGAAAGTTTGGCACGCACTAGGGTAATCCGGTCTGTGATTCCAGTCTGATTAGATTGGTTTTGTTTTCCAGCTTAGTGATGAAGTTGAAGTCTTGGTCTGAACAGCAGATCTTGATTTGCTGCTGTCTGGGAGTAAAAGCAGTAATCGAGTACAAACGGATTCCTAACAGTTACTGGATTTTAACGCCTTTCACGCTTGGGCAGCCCTGCGGGGCAGACAGTCGCTGTCAACACCCCGTCAGGAGCCAGCGAGCAGCCTGCTCTGCCACTCGGGCCTTTCGGCAAGTTTACAGACCAGGTCAGACCTAAGTGGGGAGAGGGGTAAGAGCTGGACGCTGCTTCAGGCAGAAACCCAGTTTCAGCTCGGATTCTGTGTGCTCCCAGAGAAGGGGGGGGGCGGGCTGGCAGCAGCAGAGACAGCTTTAAGCACAATTAAGCGATGATACCGTGCTATCTCTGAACAGTATCCTAACAAAACTAGAGTTGCCACAGCCTCCCAGTTAATTAGCAGAGGTGCTAACTTGGATTTCTAGCTTACAAAGTCCTCTTGGGCGCTGAGCCCTTCCCTGCTAGCAGCCGCTGCAGATGACAAGGATTTACGGGTGCAGCTTTCATCTCAGCTCTGCAAGGGCAGCGCTGGAAGCTGGAGCAGGTCTGCACCCGCCGGGTCACAGCTCCTCCGATCCACAGTGGTTTATGTAGGGAGGATTATGCCTGAGCAGAACCCGACTTCAAATTCCAGTTGGAGTCACTCTCAAAGACCAAATTAGCCTGCGCTGGCTGTGCTAAGTTAAATAACGACTAGCAGGCTTTAAAGTGCCTAGCATGAAAGGAGAACCTCGAGCTGTCCTCCTGAGACTTACCATCCCTGAGCCTTTAAAAACATGGGACCGCGAACAACGGGAAGGGCCTGGAAGAACACCTACCTTGTGGAAGCACCCACGTATCCATCCAGACTGGGAACGAGCACCGGAGCAGACGGCAGGTTGCAGGGGCAGGACTGCTTCAGGAAGGGCGGCTGGAATAAGAGAACTGCTCGCACCGGTAAGGGCCGGCCTGAAAGAGTCCCAAGGTAAGTACAAGCCACCGCGCTCAGCAGGTCCAGCACGAGAAAAGACTTTGCCCTGGCAGTGCTGGGGTTACAGCAGTCCCAAAGGATTCTGTTCACCACCAGCAGCGCTCAGAGCCTGAGGACAAGGAATGGCCCTTTTACAAGAGCGAAATCTTGCCGCTCCGCCAGGCGTTCAGCTGGACGCCGGAGCACAGACCAGACCGAAGAGCACGCGTCTCACGTCACAACGCCACCGCTTCAAGTACTTTTACTGCAAGAACTGGTCCAAAGACAGGCACGTGAAGTCCTCAATAGTGATTTTTATTAAATTAGTTGCTTTATAAAACATTGCAGATGTCGTAATTGTTAACATAACAATTTGCCCAACTGTAGTAACTGTTGCAGTTTGCTAAGCAAGTTTGGGTTTTTTAAATGAAAGAAAATGGCCGAGTCGTGAAAGATCTACCACAACCCGTGAGAGACCAAAAGGAAGTCTTGGGTTTTTTTACACTTAAACCAGGCAATTAACTGTTAAAGAATACCCAACCCATACAGCTGCATTAGTAGAAATTCAGATGAATGGAAACTAAACTTCATACTTGAGACACAAGTCGGTTTTTTCAAACAAGCCCCCACTCTCCTCGTTGTGACCCACCCCCCGTTCTGTTCAGAGGCCATCTCAAGCGCTGCGTTCCCAGGTGCGGTATCCTCGCTCTGAAGTTAGCAGTTCCCTTCACAATACACTGAAAACCTCAAGCTCTAACTTAAGACAAAGCAAGTGTAATACTACGTGCACACCCTGCCCTTGCTGCAAACTGCTTCTGGTCACACACGTCACCCGGGGAGGGACAGTTAAGGCCATGTCACTGAGCTGTGCTGGTCGTCATACTTTGCTGTGTTGAAATTCACCTCCAATGTCGTGGCTGTTACTATAAAATCAAATAGCAACAGTTATCATAATCAGAATTTGGGGTTTTTAAACTGCAATTTACATAGCTTTTAAATGTCTTCGTCCTAACCCCCGACCCCAGCGCAGGCAGCCCGGTGCTTTAGCACGGACCCGTCACGAGTTAAACCACCAGCACAGAGATACTGCAATTGGATTGTAGCATTTGGCAGAATTTAAAGGAAGAAAAGTTGTGCTACATGTTTAAGGGATTATGGGCAACAGAAAGACAACAGAAGGGGAGATAAACGTCACATGAAGTCTTCAAAGTCTTGTACGTATTCGCCGTCGTATCCTCCATAATCAGCCAGGTCATCTTTCATAGTAGCCTTTAAACCACCTCCAGGCACAACACCTTTTTTCTTCTTTTTGGCTTTATTCTGCTTAAATAGGAAGAGCAAGTTTACATTAATATCCGCAGTGATTTGTCATTGCTCTAATTAGAGTAATGCCCCGTGTCTTCGGGTACGAGCACTCGCGTTCCCCTGCGGTGAGCACGCTCTGCAGCGGCTTCACCCCTGCGTCCACCCCCCGCTGCTGCCTCGGCACAGTACAGCTACACCAGCTCCTCAGCTCCCTCCCATGGTCTGTCATTCATCCTCTTTCACCTACGCTTGAAACAAGCAGAACAATTCAGTCAGTCTAGTGTTTGGTTTTGTGGAATTACCCGTTTAACTAAGGAAACGTGGCTTTTATCACCGCAGCGGCGGAATAACTTCCTTGCGAAACCTGGAAGTCCTAAACCACCCTGACAGGACATTGCACAGCGAAGCTCCTCCGTGCTGGACTGGTGTACTTCCAGCGTGGGCCAAACCAGCTTACAGGAAAGGCCGGGAGAGGAGCGTCACAACCAGCAGCAGACACCCTGCTGCTTCCTGAACTTGTGTGGCTCAGTAAGTCACAGGCTTGCTCATACTAGAGAGACAGATTATCACATTTGCCACACACGACGCCATCAGCACTGGCCACAAGGTTTGGTTTGCATCGAGGTGCTTCGCTCACACCTGGGGAGCCCCAGCTGGCGTCACAGCGCGCCCTACCAGCCCGTGCCCGAGCAGTTCCCCTCGGACAGCTACGAGTCGCCGCTCCCGTCTGTTTCCGACTGATCCTCCCGTTGGATTTAAACGCGCCGAAAGCCTTGCACCACTCGTCACCTCTTCTGCCCGAGTTTGATGCTACCTAATGATGCAACTAATCCTTGAACTCCACACCTGGAGTTTTAACGTAGCTGTGTGCGGTCAAGCACAACATAAGCATCAGTTCAGCTACTGCATCACCTCTCAAAACTGACCCTCTTCCTTGCCTGTGGGGTTACTGCTCCGTTAGCAGTGGCAGTGTGAAAATCCCACTTATCTGACACCCAAAATCCCAAACTTTGGCAAAGATTTACGTTACTGCCACAGACTGGTACTACACGGACACTGAACTCCAAGTGAGGCTGGCTTCTGGCTCCAGGCTCTGCGGGAGAAGCCACTTCAGCGCCAGGAGAGGCGAGTGGACCAGGCTAGCACGCGGTAACGTTCACGCCGATTAATGACGGTTCTGCCCCTGATCTCTAGATTCAATCAGCTCCCGATTCCCCCACACAGTGAAGAGGATTTAACGCTAAACCAGCATCCGAGGTTATCGTTTCATCTCCTGCCACGACCCAGAACAACAGCAGCAGTTCAAGTCAGCATCAGCCCTGTTCCCCTTTTCCAGATCAGCCCCTGAGTGGGCAGTTACGCTGCAGCCACACGCAGCCGCCTTACCTTTTCCTGTTTTTGTTTTTCACTGCATAGTACTGTCAAAGTGTTTGTGATCTTTTTCAAATCATCAATTTCCACTACATCAGGGGAAAAAAAAAAAAAAAAAAAAGAAAACAAAAGATTCCTCATCAATATTGTTCTCAGAAGGCAGTTAAATAATCTGACAGCAACATTCTCTGAACACTAGAAATAAGCACAAGCAATTACTTGGCTTAAAGCAGCAAAACACAGACTGGCTGATTCTGGTCCTTATCGTCACAACTGCTGTTTCAGATGGTCCCTAGTAAGCAGCCTGGATGCCGCAGAACGTGAAACTCGCAAATTAAGAGTTGGTGAACAGGGAAGTCTTAATGAGGAGGCATTTGAACAGTAAAATATGGATACAGTAAAAAACCATGCCAAGCGGAGCAGTGGATTACAATAAATTACTATTAATAATAAATGGCCCAAGAGGTTGCATGTCCTTCACTTCAGAAGACCTGGAATCCACCTGCAAGGCCAGTTCCCAGCTCCAGCGCCCGCTGCACCTGGGCAGCAGTAAACGGCACCGCGTTCCCCCTGCCCTGAAGGGCAACACGTGCACAGCACAGGGAGAGGTCTCGGGCAGCGAGTTCACCAAGTACTTCAGCCTCCAGAGCCAGGGGGAGAAAGGAGTTTAAGTTGGTTTTATCTCCATATAGTTACATGTTGAATTCCAGAACAATTTATTTTGCCGTCCCAGAATTGCATGAACTCCATTTCATCAGTTTCCTTCCAAATGAGCTACTCACATTATCTGGCTCAGAGAGTCACAGCAGTAGCATTATTATCGGTTTAGGAATGGCCTCAAGAAAAGCATGCGAGCTTAAAAAGTATGAATTTTTATGCTGATCCAAAAGTGACTGTCTTTAACGGTCACACCGAACGAGTAACCCCTGTACGGGCAGGCAGTCTGGGATGAAGTTTGTTGGAATGGAATCGGGCAGCAGTCGGGGGGCCAGATCAGCACCGCGTTCAGTATCAACTACACGGATCAATCCCGATTTAACATTTACTGTCACTTCAACTCCGCTGCGCTTCTGGCAGCAGCGTGTTCTAGCATGTCTTTCACTTCACTTACATGAAATACATACGTCTCGAACTAACGCTTCCAAAAAACTGGCGTAATGTAATGATTTTTCGTACTGTGTAATTTTCTCTTTTAGTAGTTTGCCAAATTCCGTAAAGTCGTCTTTTGAAGAGGGATTCATGGCATCTATTCCACAAGTGTTATTTACACCTGCACGGAAAGACAGAGCCATTACAGAAAACATGAGCAGCGATCCCCGAAAGCGACAAGTCACCTCCTTGACGCTCAGGTCCTCGCCTCCGCCGAAGCTGCACAGAACCAAGGCGGAGGTTTGCGCTTTCAGTGCCACTGGCTCTGCCACACCAAAGCTAACAGTTACTAGCCTGGACAGAGAGAGGGTTTGCTGCAAAGCTTAGTACCGTGAACCAGCTTTTCTTGTTCCCTGGAAGCAACGTGAAGCCCCTTTCCCCCGAAATACAGAATTCTCCTTTGAGCTCCTAAGTGCAAAATTTAGTTGGTCCTTTACACCCCCCTCCCCGAGGCACGTGCTCTTTCCGAAGACTCACAGAGCAGCCTTTTCACTGAGTAATAAGCTGGGTAACTCGCTATAATCGAGGAAACACTTTCATGTTTGGAGCATGCTGCTATGAATCAGTATCTCTGCCAGCCGCGTCAGAGCCCAAACCCAGAAGGATCTGCTCAAGTCTGCTTTGCCTACGCCGGGAAACAAGCTCATTCCACGGACCTCGCTGCCCTTCTCAGCATCGAGCTCACTGCAGGGATTGCCCGAGGTAAAGCACGCATGAGCTGTGCCGGGCCGCTCGTCCAAAGCCTCACTAAACCCCTGCTGCAAAGCACGTCAGAACATTAACAGACAGCACTTTTTTCTTTCAACACACTCATCTTTTTACCAGAAACACCAATATGTTGGAAAATACAGTCAGACATCTTTTTCCTACAGCCTCCTCCCACGACCTGTTCTAAAGCCGTTTTTGTGGTTCCTGCAATTAGTCCTTAGAACCAGGACACGCCTCCGGCAGCCTGAATTTAACCCCCCCTCCCTGTTCTCAGCAGCACAACCTGCTCAGTCAGACCCCGCTCCGCTCTTCTGGCGGGGTGC